AAAAGGAAGAAGAAGACTACATCTATAACTTTTATAAATAATAATAATAATAATAATAATAATAATAATAATAATAATAATAATAATAATAATAATAACATTATAGTACAACAAATTTTATATATAATAAAATAATAATTGAGTATTATACGAGGAACAAGAATAAGTAAAATTGTTATTTTTCTTATATCAAGGAATAAATATATATACTAAAATCAAATTTATATTACTAAACGTTTTAGTGGGATAATATATTAATTAATTTACGGGCTAGCACTAACAGATTAATGTTTAACGTACCGACCAAAAAATGACGCTGATGAAAAGAGGTATAAAATAGATGACACAATTCTATTATCTTTTAGGCCTTAACAGACAAGTCATATGGAATGACTCATTTAATTTCTATGTCCCGTGCATCAAATGAGTTACTTAACGAACAAGTTCTATGGAAATGACTCATTTAATATCTTTGTTTCGTGCATCGTACGGGCTACGTACTAGTAAGTTAATAACATACAGTCACATAACAGACGAGTTCAGAGTTACAAAAAAACGAGGAAAAGAAAATAGGAAGATAGTCACTTCAAACATAGGAAGATTGCGACATAAACGCCACTTCGCCAGGTTGTGTGCTACTCCATTCTGGTCCCTTGGCACATGATCGCATCGACCGCAGTTGAGGGAAAAGAGCAATGGGTCGAGTTCATCTCGATGGGAAAGACCACAAATGACGCCCATAGAGTTCGTGGAAACCGACTGAAGATATAGGCCCAAGTCCATAGCAATTCTTAAACCGTGTCGAATAGCTAAGGCTTCCGCCAAAAGAGGGGAAAAAGAACCAGTCATACGGGTGGTAGAGGCCATCATACAAACTTCTATAGAGTTCCGAATCCATCCGCCTAATCCGATCTCTGAGTCTCGAACTGCCGCAGTGAATGCTTTTGTGAAGTATTTTTGGGGCTCTCCAAAATAAGTATCTTTTTTCAAAAATATAATCTTGCAGGGTGAAATTTGTAAACATGAAACAAATGCGAAGAGGTAGAAATAGGAGAAAGAGAAGAATGGCGGGGTGTAAAAAGAAAAATATAAAATTACACCTAACATCATGACTTTTGGAGAATTTACATTTTTGAATCAGGACTTTTTAACTTTTGCAAATTTTATCACCACCTCCACTTTTGTGCAAATCAGTCATGTTCAGCACAACAGCGTGAGAATTGCCTCTCGACTCGTTCGATAATTTAGAATGAGATCGAACGAGATGATTTGAGACTTTAGTTCGAGCGGCATCCTTGACAAACGATGGTCATCAGCGATGCTGGCGGCTTCACCTAAGAGGGGCAGCAAACTAAGGGTTCTAATGAGAAGATGAGGGGTACAATTGGACATATTTGGGTGGTTCATGACTCTCGAACTGAGGCATGAAATCGATTTTCAAAATTCGATGGCAGCAGGAAGAAGGGTTGTGTTGAGTAGATAAATTTTTTATTTTGTGCAATTAAATTAATAAAATATTTGAAAATAAACGATGTTTTGTTGTAACATGGAAAAAATAAAATAAAATAAAAATTTGGCAACATGTATACATCATCAACTAAATGGAAATTCTACAGACATATTAGTCTTTTCATGGTAGGTTTTATAAATTCATGAACTGATTTGTAAAAAAAGTGAAGGTGATGTTGATGATATAATTTGTAAGGGTCCAAAGATCATGATTAAAATGCAAATTGTCAAGGATAGTGATATTAATGCAATTGTACATAGTTTTATAATGTAAAGTTTGAATCTAGTGGAATACTGAATGCATAATTTGCGATTTGACCTAAAGTTGCACACATGAATTATAGTAGAAGAAATAGTTTCGGGTTTTTTCATAAGCAATAACTTTTTGTAAGTAAAGCTTGGTGCCGGTTAAACTTTCCAATGATCTATTTTTTCATAATAAGCAATCACTTTCCGTAATTAAGTAAAGCTTTGAGCCCGTTAAACTTTCTAAGGATTTACTTTTAAGCCCCGTATCATAGTCCATGTACAAATTTTTGTACAAGGTTGTTCATTGGTTTGACGGATCAATTATTCACTTTTTTTTATTATATATATATATATATATATATATAATTGTATATTTATGCTTTGAAATATCATATTTTTATTTTTGTTGTTTCTAAAATATTTATTTTAATTCAGAAATCTCTTTCAAATGAAAATATTATTATTTGATCGTTAAGCCTGGCAAGAAGTAGTTCCAAACATATTTTACATGAGATGATGGTTTGTTTACTAAAGGCATTTTGCTGGTTGGGACTATGAAGCAAAAATATGTTAAAATCATTTTCGAAAGCACAGTTCTAAGTTGGTGAGTGTGGATGTACAGGATGCCCACCATGACATAGATAGTAATAAATAAATAAAATTCATATAATAATTTTAAATTCATATAATAATAGTAAAATAATAATAATATCAATTAATAAAGTGGCAAACAGAGAACACGAAATTATTACTTAAAAGTCATGGTAATATCAATGAAAGTAGGTGTCATGTTGTCGTGTTGAGCCTACACCAGCCTAAAAAATATGTATTTTCTTGATTTTAGGTTAACCGTTAAGATAATTAATTTAATTATGGAATCAATTGATTTGTTTTTCTCATGGTTGCATCTACCAAGTACCAAGGATTAAAGAATCCCAACAATTAAACATAAATAAATAAACAATTGAACCGAACTTAATATTTTACTAAAAGTGGTCCCAAGGTAAATAAATAAATAAATGAGCAATAATTAAACATTATTGTTGACTCCTATGTTGTCACATATTGTGTTAGTAAATTTATTCATAATGAATTAATGATCGAAGTGTAAATTTAAAATCATAAACTTTAGTACTTAGGANATCTCAATTGCCTTTTTGAATTTTACACGATGTGATGCATTAACCGCAAGGAATTTTATTCGGAATGATTCAGGAGGACTGCATATTATGAATAGAAATCAAATTACATGTTTAATCCGTAAAAAAAGTAAGAATATAAAAAAATACCACATTCCAATTAATATTTTATTTAGTTGGATGAATGACGTGTATATAATTGTGACATCATATGAATGCAAGTCATTCATTAAACATAATGAAATATGAATTAGAATATGATTTTGAAATGTGAAATATCATCCCAAAATAATACACAAAAAATAGATGAAGTACAAGTGCATTCCCAGCTTTGATGTATTCTTTTAGTTCCATGAGCTTTGTTCAAGTTATTCATGGCATCAATTAATATCCTTTTGGGGATCTGAAGTAATTATAGGGATGCTTTTTGTTCTTGATTTGGGCTTGAAGTATCACTTCTTATTAACGTTATTGATGTTGAGATCAAAATGGTACTGTTATTATGGCAAACTACGTTTTAACAGGAAAATTTTGTTTGTTGTGTGTCTTGTGGAATTCAATGCACGTTATGTGTGAATACTATAATTTTGCCAAAACTGAGGGATACTAATGGATATAATTTAAGTTCATAACTCATTTGGGTTCGCGAGATTCATAAGAGGATTGGAATTAGAGTTAACAATGTAGTAATTTGACTGAACTAAATAAAAATGTTTGAATTGAGTACATAAATAAGATGAGCAGTGTAGTTCGATATGGAACAACTTAGACTTCGATTTGGAACGACAACGTAAATCTAATGATTAAAATTGAATAAAGTGACAACAGAATAAATCTATGGAATAGTTTGATATCAATATTGAAAATGAGCATGTTTGGATATAAATTTTTTTTGTTTTGATTGGATTTTTGGTTTGGGTTGGTTAAATTTGAAAAAGTTGGTATGGTTAGTTGTTAATGGATATATTAAAATAATATTTAAAATAAAATGATTAAAATTAAATTGATGTAAAAGTAGGAGAGAGAAGATGTGATGTGATGGTTAGTTAAAATTATGTGAGTTGATGAATAGTGAATTAAGGTTGATGTGTGTGTAAGAATGATTGATTTATATTACTCCCTCCATCTTGAAATATAAGGCGTATAATGATTTCTCAATTTTTTTGAAATATAAGGCGTGCTCAAAAATCAAGACAAATTTTTGCATTTTTTTCTAAATATACCCTCATTGTGTTGAAATTAAGGAAGTGTGGAGTGATTGTGATTAGAGTAAATAAGGTTAATTTAGTCAATTTATTCATTAATTAATGTCTCCTTAATATTTGTGCAATAACCTTAAATGCCTTATATTTCAAAATGGAGGGAGTATTTAATTATATTGATAATATTGATGATAGTGGGGTTGAGTTAAAGCTGAGTTAAAAAAATAGTTAAGTTAAAAATGATTGAATTTTTTGGGTTGAATTTATATCCAATCATGCTCTAAATACTAGGACGAGCTCGTTGAGGTTCGATTTGGAATGACAACATAAAGTTTTAATGATTGTTGAAAGATTTGGAGTGACAACATAAAAATTTAATTGGTTGTTGGTTTTAACAAGTAAATAATGAGGTATTAGGATGATAACATCAATTTAACATACAAATTTAATGGATTTTTTTTTTTTTTTTNNNTTTTTTTTTTTTTTTTTAATTTCAACAAGTAAATACTAAGATATTTGGATGATAACATCAATTTAATAGATATTTCGATATCTAACATGTAAATATTAAATACTAGGATGAACATCGTGTTGTTTGATTTTGAATCCAACACAAATTTAACTAATAATAGTTCGAGAAAAGTCCAAAGTGAAGTAGTCAACAAATATTTTCTCATTCTAGTATGCTTGGATGAGATTCCTTGAGGTGGTGACGTCTACCATCATTTTAAAACTAGATCCAATAATATAAAAACTTATTGAATTGTAATTCAATTATAACTTGATTCATAAAATGCACAATTAATCAATAAATTAAAATAAAAAAAATGATATTTATCCTACATATGAATCACTGTATAGTATTAGATATAGACTTTATTCAATTGAAAATATACATCTGATTTTATTATGAAAGGTATTTGGTATGTTTTGTTGTGGGTAGTCTCCAGGTGAGCCTACCTAAATAATTTGCGTGTGAAATCAGAGAACATATCATTTTCTTCTGAGCTCCTAAAATCTGCAAAGAGGGACTCGCACCATTAAAGAGCTTTGCTTCCCTCTTGCATGAGGTTAAAATTCAATCGAATGTCTCAGAGGAAAATGATTTCATGGAGCGATGGCAAGTGCCAAGCCGCTCAAACCCAGGTAAAAGTGAATTCACAGCGGCTTGCGCTACTCTATCACACTCAATTTTAGACTAATTTATGCACTCTCGATGAATTTCTATGGGTCTCTTGAAGATGGGTTTATTTTGGCTCTTTCAGTCGAATTTGTTCTTTCGANTTTTTTGCTAAGGGATTGAAATGATGGAATTAGGTAGTGTAGTCAATCGTCAACTAGATTTTCAGTAACAAGTAAATTTAATTTTGGCGTATAATACGATGAATGCTCGGTTTAATTTCTTGTTATAAAAGCAATGAACTTTCAGTACTGGAGAAATAACAATTTTTTTGTTTGTTTGTGAAGATTAATGATTGTTCAGTTATGCTTAATGAAAACCGGTAAAGGCCCGTGATTGATTTATCGAGAGGTTGATGAACATTTTAGTTCACCACAGTTAAAATTGTGATGAATGGCAGCTACTGGTGTACTGAATGCTGTGTAATCTGTACATCTACTGTATAATGACTGAACAAAATCTTATGCAACTCAGAGGATGACAGTAATACAAAAGCATGCTTAAAGTTTTAAAGGTAACCGTATCTTTGAACAATGTTATTATGTTGAGGTGAGGAGATGAGTGCAAAAAATGAAAGACTGATAGCCTTTTCTTTGTTTTCTTGCTTTCTGTACGAGTTAAAATAGCTATGCCAAGAGAGTTATTTCTATTTCACTTGGAGTTGTTTGGATAAATTGTCCAAAATGCGATTTCGTCATGCATTATAAGCTATTTTAAGGGACTGAGTCTTAAATTCGATCTGATCAGGATGCAGCTGCTCAAGATAAGTCATGCATAAGGTCTGTTCTGCAAATAGCTGACAAGAATTGTATGGATGCTAATCATTCATTCACCACAGAATATTCCGAGCTGGTTTCATCCTGTTCGGGGGGGTATTTTTATCTTCCATTGCCATGAAGTTTAACTCAGTCTTTTATTATATTGCTTATGGTTTAAGACAAAATCTACCTGTAAGGTTTGTGACAACTAAAAAAGAAACTTCAAGTGGTCTTGAAGGTCTCTCTTAACTGCAATACTTTTATCACTCGAAAGAGATATTCTTGGAGGGAGGTACTTTTCTGATTATCATTATTTCTTATTTGTCACTGTGGTGTTTTGATGGCAGCATTATCTGTGCAGAGGATGATGAAAAACCGTGTTTTAGCTTTTACAATCAGGGTTATGTGGAAAAGATTAAGGAGTTTGAGTTTTATGTTGACATGGTATAATAGCTTGTACCTTATGTACTTCTTACTTTTCCATTATCATATATGTAAACAAAACAAAACCAAAGAACTTCTTCAACTAAGCAAAAGCATTTGGTTCGTGGATAGTTTCTTCGACTTTTTTTATTTTATTTATTTATTTATATCCGTATCAAGGCTGAACGAATACCAAAAATGTCCTTGCAGGTGAAGAAAATAGCAAGGCCCGGTTGTGAGGCCCAAGTACTTGATGTGGCTTTGGCCCAAATGTTGATCCTGTTCGAGACACTCACTCTCGTGTCATCTTGTAAACCGAACATTCGTGCTTCGCTTTAAAGGGACCGAGGCCCGAGCAATCGCTCTTTGCAAGAAATTATATAAAATTATTGTAAATTTTTTAGTGTACCTTTGTTTGAAGCTCCATTAATGTAGACATTTTGGTTGTGTGAGATGTGCAACCAAAAACCCCCCACACTGCTTGTGAACATCTGTTGGACTTCAGCCCAAGTGTGGTTCTCTAATGGGCCTAATATGAGCCTATTATTACTCTGTGGGCATTCATATGAGCCCATCATTTATGCTATAAAAATAATAATTTTTGCATCTCTTTGATTTCAGCCCGACCATTTTGTTTTGGGCATTAATATGAGCCAATCTCATATCATAAAAGACTGCTCTGGGGATTAATTTTGCAGCTAATACTTCAATTTCAAGTGGAGTTTTAACAGACAAAAATTAATTGTTTGTGGTGTATAATTTAACACTAAAATAAAAGGAAAATATTAATACATTTTATGCACCTTTAATTTACACTTTATATTATATACTATAATTTGAAACGTTCACTATATAAATTAATTTACTTGTCATTAAAACTGGTCACTCAAAGTCCATAAATGATTACTAATTTTAAATTATAAAAAGAAGTCCGTACTCCCCCAAAAGAAGTTGCTTTTATAGGTGCAGTATTCCTTCATATTTTAATTAGTGATTCCATTTTCTCTAATAAGTTAATTATTCTTAAACACCCCCATCCACTAATTTTGTACCCCCAAAAAATTAAAATATTCAACAAGATTTATAGACATAGATTTATATAGACATATCCCATAAAACAACCATATAACATTATTTATTTATGTATTTAAATAATTTTCAGAGACTATATAGTACAAACATAAACAGAACAAAAAAGATAATAAGAAAAACAAAAGCATAAAGAAAGATGAGATTTGTCAATAATATATGCAGTAAATGGAAGACAAGTTGCTATGCTTGATATGAACAGCCATCCCAAAAAGGGTTAGTTAATCTTATCTTTCTAATCAGGAATAATTTTATTGTTAGACACTTGGAATCAAACTTGTTTAATATTTGACTATATCAATTAAATGTTTAACATCTATAATGATAACTGATTTGAGACATAATAGTTCTAGGCAACATATATATAAAATAAAATTAACAGTAATCCATAGTACTTTTGCAGATCTTGTGAATAAGCTTTTCAATTGACTTCTATTTCTTATTTTTTTTCAATCTAATAATTCAAAATCATCCTACTTGATAATAAAAATATATTCATTTGATTAAAAGATAAGTTCACATCGATCAAATGATTAATTATTTGAACAACCATGCAGGAATCTAGTCTTTCTTGTTAAGCACTTGGTAAATTTTGAAATGATTAAATCTGGTTTCATCATCATAATTTAATGACTAATTTAATGTTTAACATCTATAATAATAATAATTGATTTGAGACATAATAGTTCTAGGCAACATATACATATAAAATAAAATTAACAGTAATCCATAGTACTTTTGCAAATCTTGTGAGCTTTTCAATTGACTTCTACTTCTATATATTTTTTTTTTTCAACCTAATAATTCAAAATCATACTACTAGATAATAAAAATATATTCATTTGATTAAAAGATTTCAGGATTAAAGTTACATCAATCAAATGATCAATTATTTGAACAACCATGCAGGAATCTAGTCTTTCTTGTAACTTGTTAAGCACTTGGTAAATTTGAAATGAATAAATCTGGTTTGATCATCATATTTTATTGACTAATTCATTGACACTATAATAATTAGTATATTTTATTTTATAATATCTAATGTTCTTTCTGTTTTCAGTTATGAGTTGGCCATTTTTTTTAGAATTTTAAATTGTACATCATCCTTTCATGTGTGAATTAATTATCAGTCTTACTAATTTAAGTTGTTTTTAACTCGTGCACTAACTTTTTAGCACCATAGAGTAATTTTTTTATAATCAATTAAGCTAAATTAAAAATTTTACTGGATGGGGTTGAACTTAGGGCACAACTTAAAAATTTAATAATGTGTACCTTAATATTGTCCACAATTGATCAGCTGGTGAATATAATTACAAGCAAATAGACAAAAAAACTTGGACTTTCCTAAAATCAGCATAAAAGTTGGTGGAGCCTAATATAATTTAATGGACTATAAGAGTAAAAACGAGTGTTTCCATTTGTTAATTTCACCTGTGACTAAACAAGCAATTTTTTAGTCTTTGTCAATCAAACGTCCCAAATCAAATAAGATCAAACTTTGTTGTCCTCATCTCTTACTACACTACTTTCATTTTGTTAATTATAAATTTAATCCCATGCCATAATGAACTTGCAATTTTGGGATTAAATTTATATTATCGTGGGTTAAAGGAAATTATTTGATCAAAACCAACGCTTAAACCAAATTTTAGTTTGTTAATTAGACTCACTTACCAATTTTAATACTTACTAGCTAAATGATCTTATCCATATATTTATTAGGGCTATGTTAATTAATTGCCTTTACCACTATACTAATAAATACTATAATAAAAACAGAATATAATATAATAAATGTTTAGGTATCAAACATGGTGGGGACCTCGGACTTAAACACGGTGTTTAGCCAGAATTAATTGCGTTGTTAGGGTCCGTAGACAAGTTCTGATTGGCCGATGGGGACCTATCCGTTGAGATGATCAAGAAAAGTTGTTAATTAATTAATTAATTAAATTAATTCGCCATTCAATGATATATATATATATATTGCGCTAATCAATGTCACAAGACGACAAGCTGAGCATAAGCCAATAGTAAGCCACAAGTCATGTCATGAGAAGGATAGAAAAAACTATAAAATTAATTTACAGTTTTGATTTTAAATATTTTCAATAATGATCCACGTCGGCATTTAATCTGATAGGAATATAGAATTGTTTTCTATATGAAAATAAATTAATAATTTTGGAACTATCTCGACTCCAATTTGGCCTAATTTATGAATTGGCTAGGATAAAAAATGCTGCCTTTGTCTTATGGGGGCTTGTAGAAATCAAGGCATATATGGATCAACTTTTGGGTCAATGTATCTTTTTCTTTTGTGTGCTCGAGATTTATTTATTTATTTATTTATTTATTTATTTTCTCCCTTAATGTATTGCAGTATTAAGACTTGTATTTTACATTAAAGTAAGTAATTTACTTTAATTAGTGTACTTGTCAATTAGTGAGTATAGCACTGTTCATTTTCATTGTTACTCAATACAGCCTCAACTCTTTCTTTTCTCTTCTCTACTCTATCTATGTTCATGTAATCTTGAATCGATTATGAATCTTGTGCTTCAGTTAAAAAAAAAAAAAAGTTAACTATGGTTTCGGTTTGGCTCGACTTGCTAAAGTTCGAGTTCAGTTCAATTCATTTAATAAATAAGAAAAGCTCATGTAGTTAAGACTCAAAATTATTGAGCCTTAACTATTAATGAGCTGACCTCAAGATTGTTTATTGGCTTGTTTAGTTAACGAGAAAGTCAGCTCGACCAAATAAAGGCTCAAACCTCAATTACATCTCAACTGAAACTCAACTCGACTCGATTACATCTCTAACTAACTACATTTAAAAAGTCTATATATTACCCAACTAGTAACTTACCAAATGATTATTATTTTATGATACAGGCACAAAAATTCCATGGCGTGACTTCAAATTTAGCTAGTATATTTTTTTTAGAGTACTATATGGTATAAATCCATAAGTTAAAAGGTTTAAAAATGGTGATGATGAATTTCAATTACCTGTGTCATATTTTCTTCACAGACATTTGACTTTGATTTGGTTAATTTAGTCAGAAAAGTTAAAATCATTGATAGCTGCAAAAATGGTCAAACAATGAATAAGAAGAGATTGGAAATTTTCTGTACATGGATTTGAATTGAACAAACAACAACTGTTCACTCTTGAACTTATATCATCTAAAAATGATATAAAAAAAATTACAAAGGCAAGCAGTTACTTCATAAGAGGCATTACACAAATAATTCAAGAAAAAATTTCAACTGTATATTTGTAGTTGAAATTTCACCTCAATTATACTATATCGAGTTGGGTACTTTTGATCGATCTCGATTTTACAAAACCTAAACGAATCTACTAGACTAGCTAGCTACGTCATCATATGTAAAGTCGTCTAGTATCGTTTTCGATTCCAATCTAACTATTTATTCATTTTTTTTTTGAAAAATTTCAAAGTTGCGCACCAAAATGCATTCTACGTATCAGAAATTACCAAGAAGCGACATTTGATACTCAAAAGAGGAAAGTGCACAAAAATTGCAGTGTAACCTGACCAAGTCAATTTTCTATTTCGATCGAAGCCTACTAGGGTACTCCATACTTTTGTACTACTTTCATTATATATATATATATATATATATATACATATTGTTTTGGCTAAATTAGTTTTTTAGCCCGTTAAAAGATTCAATTTATGCTTCTAATCCTACGAAAGATCAATTTTAGGTTTTAGTTTGGTAAGTGAAAACAATATAAAAATAATCCTGTAACCGCGTATACCCTATAATTCTTACTAAAAAGGCTGAGCGGTAACTTATTTTGATAAAAACAGCCAAAGTCGAGATCTAATCTTGGGACCTTTTTGCAAATGAGGAAGTCATCAACCACTTGATCTACCACATCTTATTGTAAACACTTGACTTCAATTGTATATTTATCAACAACATTTTACCCCCCAAAAAAAAAAAAATTTGATTCCATTAATACCACTTTTAATTATAAATCTTATACACAATTGATTTATTAAATATGTATTAATTACAAAAAAATAAGTAAACTGAATAAATAATAAATGATATTATATTATTTAATTTCCTTATTTAATTTAACTTTTATTTTTATTTTATATTATTTTTTATTTTTACATCTTAAATTTTTGTTTAATTTAATTTATTAATTGTAATGTAGTTTATCAAATTATATTAATTTCATTTATGTCTCATTTTATATTAATTTACTTTATTTGATTTGAATTAAATTTTTCGTCTTTCCTTTTACATTATGTTATTTATTTGGAATACATTTGTCTACTTTTAGTTAAATAAATAAAAATTAATAATATGTATCTTAATATAAATTATGATAAATATCAAGTTCATGGTACTATATGTCTTAATATTATAGTTTAGTATTATTTATTATTTACTATATTATATTATTATACTATATTATATAAAATTAATAATATTTATCTTAATATCAAGTTTATGTTGATATATAAACATATATTAATTATGAACTAAAAATAAATAAAATTAATAATACAAAATATATATTATTTCAATTTTATTTTAACCGAATTTAGTTAGATTTACCTAATTTTATTTCATTTCAC